TTGGAGAAAGGCTTAAGAGAAGCACATGACACTGCCAGAGAGCACCTTCGAACAGCTCAACAACGTCAAAAGAAGACGTATGATCTCAGGGCTCAAGAGAGGATGTATAGTGTGGGAGATCTGGTGTATATTAGGGACAGCACCAAAAAGAAGGGAAAGAGTCCAAAACTCCAAGCACCGTGGAAAGGGCCCATGGTGATATCTGCCTGTCGTGGCCCTGTACTTTATGAGGTTCAGGGATTACGACACAAGAGAATCATGCATCATGATCGTCTCAAACCATATGGCTGTGAGGTGATTCCAGCATGGGTTAAGCGCCAAAGGAGCCAGATTCTGCAAAAGAGCAATGGTACCCCGGATGATCCTATCATTCAAGAACCTCAGCTTGAACCTGAACAGCTCGCAACCCAGGACAGTAGTGAAACAGATTCAGCATCTTCTGACCTGGAGCCCAAGGAAAACCTGGACAAAGGAAGAAAACGTCAGCCAACAGCTCGCCGACGAAGAAAAAAAGAAAGAGAACTTGGGTTTATGTTAGACCTAGGACAAGAAGAAACAATCAAGAGGACAAACAAAGGAAGAGAAATTCGTAAGCCTGCCAGATTCAATGATTAAGAGAAAAGAGAATGACTGTTCCAGACTTCAGTTAAGTACAAGTACTTATGGACTTTTATTTCAGAGCTAACGCCTTTGAAGACTTTTCCAGACTAAAGGTACTTACTGGTCATAATTAAATGTACAATGTTTTAGTTACTGATTTGGTTCCTGTTTTTGGGTTATTGTACTGAAGGGACTCAGTACTGCTAGAGGGGGGATAGTGTTGTAACCTGGCCCTTTAAGTCCCTTAACTGCCTGCTGTGCTCTTGTAGCTTATTGGTTGTTCAGCTACGCACTCCTTAGCATAGAGCAGGAAGTGAAGTTAGTTGTTGTTCTTAGAGGTTGCTCGCATGCTCATCGCACGTCGGAGAAACTGCCGTCCAGTGCCGGAGCAAGAGCGCCTATCAGCTGCAGCAACCGATATAAGTTTGTGTTCATGAATGTTGGTGAGTGCGCTGTGAACTGTAACTTACATCTGTGTCCTAAGATCTTCAGTAAAACTTGTGAAAGCATCTCCTTGTCGTGGCTCATTCCACCCGCGTTTCCATATGCAGTATTACATATCAACGACACGACAATATATAAAAAAATATTTCCAGAATATTGGCGCGATTGCAAATGTGATGATTTTATAAAACAGTTCAGTAAACAAAGAGTGAATATTGTGATGTGACATTTTAGACATAATATTCCAAATATTCTCTTTTTTTTGCTCTATTTCTCCAATGACAATAGTTCCAAACAAGCCACAGAAAGAGTTATGCGTATTTGTGATTCAGTGACCTAGTTGCTTAGTTCCAGAACGAATCAGCCATTTTGAACAAATCAGTTGACTGAATGCTTCTATGACTCGTACATTAAGACGGTGATTTGGCGCCACCTATTGGCGGTTTTAACTTCATAATTAAAATATATATAACTTATATAAAGGGGATGCCAGTTTGAAGAATGCCATTTGGTGGCATAGGAACCATTATACTTGAATTGTGAATTGTTTAATACCTTTTAATGGTCTTCTGCAATGTTTGAGGCATATTTATTTTTTCATGCTTTAATGTTGGCCTAATTTCAGTTACATTTACATTTTAGGCTAAGTAGTTTGAAATTGTATTTATTTTTTATTTTTTAGATTTTTATTGTAGTAACCACTCAGCTGTATGTGGAAATGCATATTTTAAAAAAATATGTTGCAAATAAAACCATAGTCCACATGTAGTTTTATGTAGTTTTAACTTATTTTAATATATAAATTCAGTGAAGTCATCAAACGTTTGTATGACTTGCCAGTGACTTGTGACCCAAGCTACGACTTGACTTGACTTGCTTGACATAAGGCAGTGACTTGACTTGACTTGCTTTTATAAAAAATTGACTTGGACTTGCTTGAGACTCAAAGGTTAAGACTTGAGACTTGCTTGTGACTTGCACATGTGTGACTTACTCCCACCTCTGGTTAGAGAACACCAGCCAAACACACCTTTATCCTCTGCAGTCGGATCGGGAATCAAGATCCGGTTGATGAATTGTCACTTTGAATCAATCTAATGAGTCACTCACTCAATGAATCACTCTAATGAGTCACTAAATGAATCACTCTAATGAGTCACTCACTCAATATATCAATCACTCTAATGAGTCACTCACTCAATATATCAATCACTCTAATGAGTCACTCACACTCAATTAATCACTCTAATGAGTCACTCACACTAAATTAATCACTCTAATGAGTCACTCAATGAATCAATCTAATGAGTCACTCACTCAATATATCAATCAATCTAATGAGTCACTCACTCAATATATCAATCAATCTGATGAGTCACTCACTCAATATATCAATCAATCTGATGAGTCACTCACTCAATTAATCACTCTAATGAGTCACTCACACTCAATTAATCACTCACTAAATATATCAATCACTCTAATGAGTCACTCACTCAATATATCAATCACTCTAATGAGTCACTCACACTCAATTAATCACTCTAATGAGTCACTCACACTCAATTAATCACTCTAATGAGTCACTCAATGAATCAATCTAATGAGTCACTCACTCAATATATCAATCAATCTAATGAGTCACTCACTCAATATATCAATCAATCTAATGAGTCACTCACTCAATATATCAATCAATCTGATTAGTCACTCACTAAATATATCAATCAATCTAATGAGTCACTCACACTCAATTAATCACTCTAATGAATCACTCACTCAATGTTTACATTTATATTTATGCATTTGGCAGGCGCTTTTATCCAAAGCGACTTAGATTGCAATTCAAGTTACATATTTACATTCATATCAGTTCTTGATATGAATTATGAATTATGATTAATTCAATGAATTAATCAATCTAATGAATTACTCTAATGAGTCACTCACTCAATGAGTCACTCTAATGAATCGCTCAGTCAATGAGTCACTCTAATGAATCGCTCAGTCAATGAGTCACTCTAATGAATCGCTCAGTCAATGAGTCACTCTAATGAATCGCTCAGTCAATGAGTCACTCTAATGAATCGCTCAGTCAATGAGTCACTCTCTTGACTTAGTCACAGGTTATTCATATGACACATTCAAAACCGAGTTTTCAACAATAAATGCTTAAAAATAGATTTAAACATTTAAATGTAGTATACACTAGTGATCAGGTTTTAATTGTTTTTGAAAGAAGTCTCTCCTGCTCATCAAAGCTGTAAAAACAGTGAAATAGTATTATAATGTAAATCAGCTGTTGTCTATGTGAATATACAGTAAAGTTTAATTTATGTGATCAAAGCTGAATTTTCAGCATCATTACTCCAGTCTTCAGTGTCACATGATCCTTCAGAAATCACTCTAATATGATGATCTGATGCTCAAGAAACATTTATGATTATTATCAGTGTTAAAAACTGTTCATATTTTTGTGGAAACCGTCATACGCTTTATTTTTCAGGATTCTTTGATGAATAGAAAGTTCAAAGGAACAGCATTTATTTGAAATATAATCTTTTGTGACATTATAAATGTCACTTTTGATCTAAAGAGTCAGAGCTGAAATCAGGCACAGAATGGTTGTGTTGCTTGTGTGTGTGTGTGTGTGTGTGTGTGTGTGTGTGTGTGTGTGTGTGTGTGTGTGTGTGTGTGTGTGTGTGTGTGTGTGTGTGTGTGTGTGTGTGTGTGTGTGTGTGTGTGTGTGTGTGTGTGTGTGTGTGTGTGTGTGTGTGTGTGTGTGTGTGACAGACAGTCAGTGTTGTTCAGAGACGCTCGTGTCGGTCTGTCAGCATCAGTTAGTCTGTGTGTCACTCAGAGATTCAGAAGAACATGAGGACATTCACTGACACTCAACAGACTCGCTTTCATCACACACACACACACAATTAAAACAGCTGCAATGACTGGATTTATGATTAATCACTCGCTGTGTGTTATTTTCTCATATTTGCCTTTAAATACATATTCTTCCTTTCAAACGAAGTACAGTCAGTGCTTGTAAATTCAGCTCTGCCTATGAGGAAATAAATCTTCAAAGACGTTTTACTGACTAATTTTACTTTAAATTGAATTAACATTTTGAAACTTCAATTAAATATTTAAATCTCAAGACATACTTTCAGGAAAGCCTTTTATTTAATTTGACTATTATTTTGATATGTATGTTTGAGTGCTGTCGATTAATCACATCTAACTAAAACAAATTGTGTTCATATAATATATCTGTGTGTGTGTGTGTGTGCATACACACACATATATTATACAAACACAAACTTTTATGTTAGACGCAATGTTTATGTTTGTATATTTTATATTCTTGTTTTCTGTGTAAGCATCTTGAGCAGCTTGCTTTATATAATAATATAATTATTATTATACATTTTATCAAAAACTGAAAATGACGTTACAAGTGTTTGGAGTAAGATTTATTTTGATAATGTTACAAAAGATTATTTTTTAAAATAAATGCTGTTCTTTTGAACTTTCTATTCATCAAAAAATCCTGAAAAAATGTAATCTATGACGGTTTCCACAAAAATATGAAGCAGTTTTCAACACTGATAATAATCATAAATGTGTCTTGAGCATCAGATCATCATATTAGAGTGATTTCTGAAGGATCATGTGACACTGAAGACTGGAGTAATGATGCTGAAAATTCAGCTTTGATCACAGGATATAAATTACACTTTACTATATATTCACATAGAAAACAGATGATTTACATTAGAATAATATTTCACTGTTTTACAGTATTTTTGATTAAATAAACACAGCCATGTTGAGCAGAAGAGACACTTTCAAAAATATTACAAAATCTATTGTGCAATTGAAATGATTGTGTTCTAACGTTATATGAGTATGCATTAAGCGTGTGTGTGTGTGTGTGTGTGTGGTGTGCTGATGCTGACCAGTACGCCGGTGAACTCATTGACGGTGTAGCTGGCGTTGGGCTGGCGGATGGGTATCGCGCGGTTGTCTTTAAACCAGGTGTAGACCGCGGGGGGGATGCTGTGATGGTCCCTACAGCGCAGCTCCACCAGGGAGCCCGTCAGAGCGGAGCTGGGAACCTCACAGGCCGGGGTTTGTGGAGGCACTGCAGCACAGACAACAGTAAGTGTGTGTGTGTGTGTGTGTGTGTGTGTGTGTGTGTGTGTGTGTGTGTGTGTGTGTGTGTGTGTGTGTGTGTGTGTGTGTGTGTGTGTGTGTGTGTGTGTGTGTGTGTTTGTCTTATGGCACACTTATGAAAAGAAAATATATTTCCCATATGTGACCCTGGACCACAAAAGGGTAAACAAGGGAAAGCATTTTTTACATTGAGATTAATACATCATCTGAAAGCTGAATAAATAGGCTTTCCATTGATGCATGGTTTGTTACAACATTTAAAAATAAAAATTGACAATATTTGGCCTATTGCCACAAATTTACCCGTGCGACTTATGACTGGTTTTGTGGTCCAGGATCACATATATCGCATTTATTTTGCAGTATATTCCCATATTCCCATTACCCAGCACTCGTAGCGTGACGTTGGTCTCTCCCAGCGTGACGGCGTCGGCAGGAGCGCTGACCTCGCACCGGTACTCGCCCGCGTCCTCCTGAGTGACCCTGAGCAGCTTCACCGTCGCCCCCTCTATCTCAGCGCGCTTCTGAAACGGCCCTGCACAGTAATCATGACGATAACATTTACATTTAACATTTATGCATTTGGCAGACGCTTTTATCCAAAGCGACTTACATTGCATTTCAAGCTACACATTTACATTCTTAATCAGTTCTTGCTTTCCCTGGGAATCGAACCCATGACCTTGGTGTTGCAAGCGCCAACTTTGTTCGAATGCGCCTTTAAAGGGGTCGTCGGATGCCCATTTTCCACAAATTGGTATGATTCTTTAGGGTCTTCATGTAAAGTTTGTAATATGCATGTCTCTTTAAATGATAATGAGGTGCATGTCTCTTTAAATGATTATGAGGTGCATGTCTCTTTAAATGATAATGAGGTGCATGTCTCTTTAAATGATAATGAGGTGCATGTCTCTTTAAATGATAATGAGGTGCATGTCTCTTTAAATGATAATGAGGTGCATGTCTCTTTAAATGATAATGAGGTGCATGTCTCTTTAAATGATAATGAGGTGCATGTCTCTTTAAATGATAATGAGGTGCATGTCTCTTTAAATGATAATGAGGTGCATGTCTCTTTAAATGATAATGAGGTGCATGTCTCTTCAAATGATAATGAGGTGCATGTCTCTTCAAATGATAATGAGGTGCATGTCTCTTCAAATGATAATGAGGTGCATGTCTCTTTAAATGATAATGAGGTGCATGTCTCTTTAAATGATAATGAGGTGCATGTCTCTTTAAATGATAATGAGGTGCATGTCTCTTTAAATGATAATGAGGTGCATGTCTCTTCAAATGATAATGAGGTGCATGTCTCTTTAAATGATAATGAGGTGCATGTCTCTTTAAATGATAATGAGGTGCATGTCTCTTCAAATGATAATGAGGTGCATGTCTCTTTAAATGATAATGAGGTGCATGTCTCTTTAAATGATAATGAGGTGCATGTCTCTTTAAATGATAATGAGGTGCATGTCTCTTCAAATGATAATGAGGTGCATGTCTCTTTAAATGATAATGAGGTGCATGTCTCTTTAAATGATAATGAGGTGCATGTCTCTTTAAATGATAATGAGGTGCATGTCTCTTTAAATGATAATGAGGTGCATGTCTCTTTAAATGATAATGAGCAACTGCTCTCTTCCATGGGGGGTGTCGACACTCATAAAGTGATGCCTTGGCGGACAGTAAACAAATGGCTGAGGGCGGAAATATGCTAATACGGGAAATATGCTAATACGGGACAGTCCGTCAGCGGTCGTGGGCGGAGCATGAGCAATATGATATCATATTGCTCAGAAAATCCAAACGGCTTGATTATTGAGAGCGTTTAGACTTTTTGAGGATTAAAAAAAAGGAGTGAATGGATGTTGTTCATTGTATGGTGGTTGTGTCACACACTGCAAATACACATTTATATGCAAACACCATATAAAAGTAAATTTTGCATCCGATGAACCCTTTAAAACTTCCATCTCAAACCATGTTACAAGACTAAAATAAAAATACATTAAAATTATAAGATGCAAAATGAAAACATGCTGTGTGGTTACAGGTCTGAGATCAGTTCAGGTCTGGTGTTCCTCAGGGCTCAGTTTTAGGCCCTTTACTCTTTAAAGGGGTCATATAATGCCATTTTTGTACAAGCTAATATGATTCTTTAGGGTCTAAATTAAAAGTTTGTAATATACTTTAATTAAAAATTCTCATTAGTATTGTAAGAAAACACTTATTTTACTTGGTCAAAAACAGCTCTGTTTTCAGCACGCCGTTTCAGTGCATATGACTTTAAATGATAATGAGCTTTGCTGACTCCGCCTCTCTGTTCTGTGCGTACACGTTTGTAACACAATACCATAACGTGTTGTTCATTATAATCGTGGGATTATGAATTATATGGAGAACGTCGTACATAGAAAACATGCAGTAATCTACCCTGAGTGTAAACCTTAGACGCATTCATTGTGAAGCGATTTGCAAAGATATAAATATTAATATAAAGTTTAATAAAACGTTACACTCACTTCAGTTGTTCTAGAGGTTCAGCAGGAACACGAATATCTGGTACCGATCCTTTATTCAGGAGCAGCTGCTTAGCAAAACCAGCTTTATACTGATCCTCGTTTATAAAGCAGTCTGGTGAGAAATGATTCGCGCAAACATGAGAGCATTGACGTTGCTCGTGGGGAATATTCCCTTCGAAAACAAACTCAGCCACTGCGTCTTCAGCGGTTCGGATTTAGGAACATTAAAATGACTGTGTTCGTTATTACACCCAAGAACAGAACACCACAATCGCTTAGAGCCATTCTGCTCATAGACAGCTCCAGCATATCAACAATGACCGCGCCGGTCCGCGCAGACTATGATTGACAGCTCTCACGAGCGAGGGCGGGTCTGTGTTGAAACGCGCCTATCAATCAACAATCGTGGGAGGGGCTTCCGAGCGTGTGACGTCACACGGTGGAACGGCTTGATTTGAGGCAGGGGAAAACATATAAGGAGATTAAAACAAAACCACTGGATGGATTTTTATCATTATATGATGGTTGTGTACAGACACTGCCAACACACATTTCAGTACAATCAACTTGAAAAAGTGCATGTACCATTATATGACCCCTTTAATACATTATCACTTTTATGCTGATGATACTCGTGGGACTCTGTGGTTGCTAGAGTGTTACTAATGTTTTTTGTGTGTTGCTATGTGGTTTCTAGGAGGTGTCTGCTAGGGCATAACTCATAACACCTCAGCAACCACATAGCAACACCTTAGCAACAACAAAGAAAACCTTAGCAATCATATAGATATTTTTAGCCTGTTGCTATGTGGTTGGTAGGATGCTCTAGGCATTTGCTAGGACATTGATAAATGGTTGTGATGGTGTTCTGAGTGGTTTCTAGGGTGTTGTGAGTGTTTTTCGAGTGTTGCTATGCAATTTCTATGGTGTTGTTGCTAAGGTGTCACAAATGTTTTTAGTGTGCTATGTGTTTTCTAGGTGGTGTCTGCTAGGGCATATCTATATGATTGCTAAAGTGTTCTGTGTGGTTGCTAAGGTTTTGCTATGTTGGTGCTGAGGCGTTATAAGTGATTTTTAGCCTGTTGCTATGTGGTCGCTAGGCATTTGCTAGGACATTGATTTATGATCGTGATGGTGTATTAAGTGTGGTTAAGTATGTAGTTTCTAGGTGGTGTCAGCTAGGGAATATATATACAATGGTTAAGGTGTTCTGTGTTGTTGTTTTATATGTTGCTATGAATTTGCTAGGTTTTTGCTGCATGGTTGCTAGGGTGTTGATATGCACACCTCTCCTCAACAAGACATTAGAGGAATCATCAATTCGCCAGTTACCTACGAAACGTCCTTCATAATAAACGAAGGACACGTCTTTGTCCTTCTTCTTCCACTCGATGCGAGGGTTCATTTCTTTCTCGGTCTTGAACTCACAGGAGAGCACGGCGTCTGCGGAGGACAAGCACACATCATGGAGTTAGTGGTGCACATCGCCCCACTGACGTCCGCATGGCGACGGCACACACACACTCACCCGAGGACTCGTGCACTTCCACGTTGGGACTGAGGCTGGTGACGGTGACCGGGACGACAGGGACGCCTGAAACAGAGAACACAAGAACAACACAATCTCAGTCTCCAAAATTCTGTGACAAAAAGATTTTCACAAAAAAGCAGCTGTGTGATGTTCAGATGTTCGTCATTGGTAGTTTGACTTCCTAAACGTTATGAATGTTTTTAGTGTGTTGCTATGTGGTTTCTAGGGAGTTCTAGGTGTTTGCTAGGGTATATCTGTATGGTCACTAAGGTGTTTTGAGTGGTTGCTAGGGTGTTATGAATGTTCATTAGTGTGTTGCTATGTGGTGTTTGCTAAGGCATATCTATGCGGTTGGTTATGGTTACTAAGGCATTGCTATGCGGTTGGTTATGGTTACTAAGGTGTTGCTATGCGGTTGCTGTTATGAGTGTGTTTTGATATGTTGCTATGTGGTTGCTAGGGTGTTCTAGGTGTTTGCTAGGGCATTGGCATAAGGTTGCTATAGTGTTCTGGGTTGTTGCTAGGGTGTTATAAGTGTTTTTGTGTATTGTTATGCAGTTTCAATGGTGTTGCTATGTGGTTCCTGAGTTGGTATGGGTGGGTTTTGCTTGGATATGCAAGGTGTTTGCTTATCTTTACTGCTGCTATGGTTTCTATGTGGTGACTAATGTGTTGCTATGTAGTGGCTGAGGTGTTATAAGTGATTTTTAGTGTGCTAGGGTGGCATTATGAGTGTGTTTTGAAATGTTGCTATGTGTTTGCTAGGGTGTTCTAGGCATTTCCTATGGCATATCTATGTGTGCATATAAATATATATTCGTCCTAAGTTGTTGCTAGGGTGTTGCTGTGCGGTTGCTAGGATGTTTTTTGTGTTGTAATACAGTTGCTAGGGTGTTCTGAGTGGTTGCTAGGGTGGCATGTGGTTCCTGAAGTGGTATGGGTAGGTTTTGATATGTTTATATGCAGTTGCTAGGGTGTTGCTATGTTGCATAGCAACTGAAGAGTGAATCACTGTAGTGATTTTTTTTACCTTTATTTATATAGCCTAGTGCTTTACACAATACAGATTCTTTCAAAGCAGCTAATAGTGCTCTATGAAAAGTGTTTGCGGACTCCCAGCGGGATGAACAGGCTCAATATGGATTTCTAAACATAGTTGGTCTCATTCTTCACTGAAGGTCCAGCTTCTGTTCTCCCGTGTGTTCATGGCTAAAGTTGATTCACTTGCAGGAAAAGGAAGCAGGTGTTTCCCTTCCTGAATAACATGACAGTCATTGTTGGCTTTCCTGTTTCTGCCCACGTGTGACTGGCTTTAATCAGACCACGACCCACAAGAGATCAAGTTCACTGACCTAACTAAAGCTTTACAGATCGCATTCACTTTGTGCTGTGATGCTTTTACAAGATCCACGTTGCATTTATATAAATCACTTTTAGATAGCTACTTGATTAAAACACGTTATTACCAGAGGTTTCAAATAAAACAACATTAAATCTTCGTCCCTCAGCTGAAATGAAATGATACTAAAACCACCAGTAGGTGGCGGCAAATCAATGTCTGAACAAGAGAGTCATTGAATCATTCAGTGAAACAATTCGTTCGCAACGGCTGATTCATTCAGGGGCAACGCAGAATGACTGAGTGAGTCGTTGAATCGTTCATTAGAATGATTCGTTAAAAAACGCGGATTCAATTAGTAACGAAACTAAAACTGTTGCTCTTAAACACGCAGTGGCTCAAAATAGAGGAAAAAAACGGACAATATTGAGTCTAAAAATGTGTCACCTCATTATTAACTTATTATTTATTAAATTGTTGTATAAAATCAATATCAAACGTTCTGATATTCTGGAAAACAGCACTTTTGATCGTGTGATATTGGTTACAAATATTAAAAACAAGAACTTATTTAACTTTATTTAATCATAACAGAGACCTTTTTTTCTTTTGTCTCTCTTGATCATGCACCTAAACAACTGAAACCAGAACGAAGACCAGAGTTAAATCTTTGCCCGGAAGAACCACTAGACATTATTGCTGCTACATTGTTAAATAAAAATGAAATTAATCGTTCAAATGAGGTGAATTTTTTTATTTATTTCGAGTGCAGATAAATGTCCTCGAGTAGGCTAATTATTTTGTTTAATTTAATGCTGATAATGACCTGCGGAAGCTGAGTGTCCAAAACACTTGAATTGTAGTTTCCTGACAGATAAAATCAGGACTGTGTGTGTGTGTGTGTGTGTGTGTTTGTGAGTGATTGATTACGAGGCTTAATTCGTTTCATCGTTTAAAGGAAGAGAGTGTGACGTCTTTCGCGACCGCTGCAGTTTTAGATAGCAACAACAACAGTGTTTTCTGGAAGGCTTCTGTCATCAGACGACGAACACACACACACTCATGTCTCGATTTTCCTCCATATCCGTGTTATTATTCCAGTTCTGGAGCATGAAACGGGAACGTCTTATCAAACCTCACGAGCTGCTGTTAATCATCCAATTAGAGTTCACTTCAGTTACATTTATAAAACTATCGTCAGATTCACACAGAAACTCAAAGATCTTCACCGTTCACAACCCGACAAAATAAAAGTTCAGCTTAACTTGAAATTTTAGACCCGAAACTCATTTTTAAAAATAAAAATAAAAATTGAGTGTTCATCAGAGGGGTCCAAGATCCTGGGACTTTTGTCGAACTTGAACCACGAATACACACACAATTGAGTTTTGTGGTTGAAATTTAAAAAGTAACAAATGCAATTTGACCCCCTTAGGAATGAATGGAATGTGAGGAATGCTTCATAGAAAAATCTAAAAATTATCAAAATTTAAGCTAAAAATGCTAAAACTTTACTGTATAATGTGTACATGTGTGTGTGAGCGCACACTGAAGAGAAACTGGCTTTAGGACCCAGCGGAACAGCTCCTCTGCTCCATATAGAGCAGTGGTTCTCAACCTTTTTTGGGCCAGCGCCCCCTATCCAATATCCAGGTCCCCGACCGCCCCCCACCCCCAAACTAATGAGCGAGCAGGAACGAGTAACAGATGAAATAAGTACAAAATTGTCATTTATTAATACAATCGAACTATACTCCACAGCGATTAATCCAAAAAACAAGCTATAAACTGCATTGAATAGCAATAGCAGTGTTTCTCACAGGATTTTTGGTAAATCTGTGGTGGGTGAACCTCGGGCCTTCTAGGGGGGTTCGGGGGGCAAGCCCCCCGTAAGAAAAATGTGTGCATTTTAATGTTAAATGCATCAATCTGGTGCACTTTGAGAGTTCAAAATTAAAAGCTCCAACCCATATTCAGTGTGCAAATTAAACAAAGAAAAATTCAAACCTCTTTTAGTTGTGTTTGTCTACATTACACTACTACATAATAATAGTTATATTATATTAATCCCATGACATAAATAGCCATATATTATAAAACAAATGCACTGAAAAATAAAGGACAGTCATTAAAGCGGTAATGTTTGCACGTAGGTTTTATTAGCATTTAGGAGAGTATTGCAAGAAGCTGCTTACATTAACCTTACTTAAAAATAAATATACAATCATGATTTTTCATGAAAAATTATGTTAAAATTGTAGGCCTAAAATACCTTGGTATCAGGTATAATTAATACAATTACAATTAATTTGGTTTGTCGTGATTAATTTGTTTTCATAATCAGTAAAAAGAAAAATCTTCTAACAAGAATAAAAACACGAACAATTCAATTATTATTGTATTATTAATTGTTTTTATATCTTGAAACTAACGTTACCCAAGCAGCGTTTCGCTCTCAGATGTGATGGCGGAATGAATAGCCTACATTACCAAAATGTGATTGCAGAATATATTTAAATATTAATATAATATAAAAATTATCCATCAAATTGTCATTTTCAAATTGAGTTAACAATAATGCCTGACCAGTAAATTACTTGGTGAACAAAGAAAACATTTTGGCATTAGGCATTGGAATTAGTTAATGCCTAAAAAATTTAAAGTTTTACCTTATAAATAGAATTTAGTTTAATTTTGAAATTCGTCGCCGGAGTAAATGGGAACATGATTTATTGAAAATATTTGAAAAAATAGAAGTGTTTCAATACTTAAGTCAATACTTTTTAATGGCATGTCAACTTTCCATTCCTCCGCTGCGTGACTCTAGCCAGCGCTGGATTGTTGTCAGCGCGAAACACATGTTTGAGCGCGTGAATGCAGATTCTAGCCAGCGCTGGATTCTAGTCAGAGCGCTGGTCTATAACTGGAAAAATAATATAGTCGTTGCAAAAGTAACGATACATAGCTTAGGCTACATGTACATTAAACTGGAAGAAGAATCACAACAAGCGTGTCGGTGAGAACACTCATTTAAACAGCATTCACACCCGAACTTGACTGCACATTATATTTTTGACATTATTGATACTGCTTTCAATCGTAATGCAATAGAAATGAACACAAAAAACCTGCTAGTATACCATGGGCGTCAGTTTGGTTTGAAATGTGGGGGGGACAGAGACGCATTCGGAAGGGCATTTTCAAAAGTGCTGGGTACAATGACGCGTTCATTCTTTTTTCTCTTTCGCGCAGGTCATGGTTTGAAAGACGCCGATGTCCTGTAGCTTACTGATTTAAATAAATAAAAATGTATACAAAGATGTGATGATGTCCGACCAAAAATGTGATGGTACTTTGGGTTTAAATTTAATATTATATTAAGATCTAATATAATGTTGTTAGTATCGTGAATTTTTACGTGAATATATATATATAGATCCGCCTGCGATGCGTATGTACTGTAATGGTCCAGTGGCAGAATTTTTGCCAAGCGTGTCGGAGGTTGAGGGTTCTAATCCGCACTCGTATAGTTTTTTTCCCCACATCAAAACCGATAATTGTATATCAAGAATCTTGATATACTTTATCACTGATAAACATTATCGGTTTTGATGAGGGGGGAAAAAAACTATACGAGTGCGGATTAGAACCCTCAGAAGCAGGGACACGTTTGTGTGCATTTTGAATTGTGATTTCTCTGGAACGAATAGAATCTCTGCAACGG